ATTCAGTAGGTGTTCTGTAGGAGTTGTTCCACATGTAGATGTATTTCTGATGTATCTGTGGGGAGGAAGGTGATCTCCATGTCTTACTCCTCTGCCATCTTGAAGGTCTCTCCTAAGCAGGCCTTTTGGAAGGTGAACCTAACCTAGCACTTAATCATCTTTAAAATATATGTCCTCTAAGCTTCCAAGTTTCAAACTACCTTATAAATGAATTTTGGGAACAAAACCCATGTGTAAACTGGAGGGAGGGGTGGGGGTGTTGAGTTTAGAAATAATCAGTATGAAAATGAGAACATCTGTAAGCACTAGTAACTTTCACAGCCTATCAGTTCCACATAATAAACAGAAACAATAGACTTTTTTACTGTGCCTCTACCACACTCAAAGCTCTGTGCCCAACACCCAAGGGGGGAATTTTATCCTCCATCTCACAAACCTACTTACTGTACAACGTCACTGAGCTCTATAGCTTAGCAGCCTTGAGAAAACAGTACATATTATAGCTGATTCATAGGAAAATATATTCTAAACACCTACTGAAAATCCTAGAAAACATAGAAAACATCTCCCCTTGACCTGGTCTTGCAGACTATTCCTTGCTGTGGTATCCAGCATGTCAGCATGTCACGTGTTCTACAGTGTTCAGTATCTACAGAATTCATCATCATCATTATCATCATGACACAGCACCCATTTATGGAGGGCCTACTCCATGCCAGGCATATAGTAACTCTAATCTTCAAAATAATGCTAAAGGTAGGTATTATCATCCACATTTTACAAATGAAGATATAAAGTCAAAGAGACTTAACAACTTGCCTATGGTCACATGACATGTATTAGAACTGGAATTGTACCTTACATCTGACTGATGCCAAAACCCATCCTCTTTCCTCTAAAACTTGAGTCCCATTCCAGCCCAACTCCTTAGACTTCTTTTTTGGCATCCCCTGTAGAAGGGGATTTGGTTACTGAAAAGATGGACAGACACTGGAAAACAATCTTAACTGTAAATATTCTCAAGGTACTAATGTAAATTAATGTCCAAGCAGAAAGACCATAAGAATAAATGTACAAACACCTTGAAATTTTCTTTAAAAGTACTAGATCCAGGAGTAAAAATATGTATTAAAGAAAAAAATCATATGGCCAACTTACATACAGTATTAGACCAAGAGTTGACTCCTCATTTCCCAAACTTCAGCAGACACAGCAATACCCCCCGCTTTCTGCTATTAAAACAGCTACTAGAGGACAAACAGTAAATACACATTTTAAGTAACCCAAATTGCTCTAGTATATCTAGTAAATTGTTTCTGTCTGTGAATTTTTCCAAAAGGGAATTTTATGTTGAATAATATTTTTAAAAGAACAAAACAGCTTCAGTTTTAAAAAGCTATTCTGGTGTGGTAGGTCCCATCTCACATCACTCACCAGTGTTTGTCAAAGGGCACTGGCATTTTGGGCAGGGCGATTTCTTGTTGTTTGGTACTGCCCTAAGCATTGAAAAACATTTAGCAGCCCTGGCTCGTGCCCACTAAATGCCAGTGCACGCCCCCTCCCTGCTCTGAGATAACCAAACATAGCCTTACGTGTTTCCAAATTCCCACAGAGAGGCAACGTTCTCCCACTGAGAGACACCGATTGCTAGACTCTTTCCGCATTCTATTTCCAGGCTGCTAGAGACTTTCTACAATGTTTATTTATGTAATTCTGCCACAGCTGTTTACTCAACCTTTCTGAAAGTGCTTGTTTATAGTTTCCTACTTCACCCCAAAAGTTGTCTTTAAAAATAACACAACACTTGTTTCATGTTTACTTGAATAAGATTTTTAAGCTATTTTTTAAGTCCAAAAAGCTAATTTTGTGACTACATAATAATACAATACTATATAATTACTGGAGACAAAAATAAAAGTTAAAATGCTTTAGAATCACAGTATCCTAGAATGTAAGAAATGGAAGGGAATTGGGAGTTCATCTCTTCCAGGGGCTATGTGAGTCTGATGTAAAACAAAACCAAAAAAGTTGTGGAAATGTGCATTTTTCTGGTTAGGGAGTTGGACATTTTTATATCAAGTACTTAAAAAGTTCATGATCCAAAAGAAGTTAAGAACCAGTGATCTGTTTCCTGGCAAAGCAAATGAGACCCAAAGTGGTTAAGTGAAGTGACAAGATCAAGAATGTATACTACTGGGTCTTGCTACGAGAAACATGTAAAGTGAACTCCTAGAAATGGCCAGACTGACTCATCAAAGGGGTAAAAAATTCCACAAGACCATTCATCGCCTACTATGCAACAAATAAGTTCCTAAATAAAGCATGTTGTTTATAATAGTCACACATTAGGGGAATAGGTTATTTTAAAGTGAAAGCTCTTGGAATAAGTATCCCTAATTTGTTTGTTTTCAAGTTTGGTTTTCTGATTATGTATTGATAATATCTTCCTAGAGCATATCTATACCTTTAAATGTTACTGTTACATCAGCAATAAATTCAATTCTCAAAAAATTTTTTAAAACCCATATTTGAAAAAGTTAGATTACCCAAGAAATAATTTTCTTATCAGGGAAGAAGTCTCTGGTATAAAGATACCATTTAAAAGACAATATCTCAATAGATCCTCAACAATAATCCTAGTAAGTAGGCAGGTGTTTTTAATCCTTAATCTTTTGATTTTACAAAATAAAATAGGTTAAGTAACTTTCTGAGATTATAAAACTGTTGCCAGGTAGTACCAGGACGAGCCCCAAGCACTCTGACTCCATGTCCAGAGTATTTCCCATTTCACAACTGCCTTTTCTACAAACACCATACGGAAACAATTTAAATGCCACAAAATAAGCCGTTTTCAAAGCCATGTTGATAAACTACTGTTAATACCAAAATAATACTTTTTTTTTTTCAAAAACTGACAAAGAAGAAACTTCCATAGAACATGAAAAATTCTACCTTGAGCCCTGACCTACAATTTCTATAAAGTACGTTACTGAACAAAAAGAAAAATAGTTCAAATAGTTTGGATAGATAATAACAAATCATCAAAACTGGAAAAACATTTTTCCCAGTCTATGGCTTCCTGTCAATGGATTATTATTACCTTTAGGTAAATAAAATAAGTGATTCTCAGCTTTGTGGATGAAAATCAAAGTTTACATTTGCCACTGAAACAACTTCCAGGCAACAGGCATTTGAAAACAAGCATACAAACAAAATCTCCTTAAGAACTGATTAAGTACCAATTGTATTTTAACAATTGCAACACCCCCAAAACCAAACAAGATCATTTCTCTTCAAAGGAAGAGCAGTCACAGAATTATGTTTACTCCTTCAGATTACCTGTCTCTTCAGGTGCTTAGGTCAGAAAGGCTACTAAATAATAAAATTAAATTACAACCTCACATCTTTTTTATCCTATGCTCTTGTAATTAGAATGGCATTCTCAAAATAGAATAAGCATTACAGTTAGGAAAAACACACTTAAGTCAATTAAACTCTCCTTAAATAAAAGCACACAAATGTGAATCATAGGCTATGGACGCTAAAAACTTCTAGGAAGAAAAACATGTTTGCCTTGAAGACCCTGCAACTCATCTTTCCTGTCAACATTTAAACCCAAACACAGAAACCATTAAGCAAGCAACATCTGCATCCCATTATTGCTTTTAAATGACAAATCTCAATTCCTAAAAAGGTTACTCCATCGTTTGAGAATAATTTTCTGATAACAATGAAAACAAGCTCTGTCATTAAATTTCTAAATTGTATTTTATCCTTTCCTTTTCAGTCCACCACACATAAAAGCAACAGTTGTCAGTTTAAAAAGAATCAACCTCTTTCCCAAATAAATGTACATGATTCACAGCTTCCTCACTTTATATCAGGTATGTACTGAGAACTATAACAAAACACACTACTCAACGTAATGTCCAGAGAAAGAATAAAAGGAGGAAACAGGAAGAGTACGGGGCTGTTCTCTGGGGGGCCCCTATTAGTGGGGGCATCCCTTCATTCATTTTTCACTCAGTGGTTCCCTATCAGGGCCAAACCCCAAAGTTGGAAGATACAACCTAGCCTCTGCCAGACTGCCTTCATTCCTCCTGCACCCAAGACAGGAGCTCGTCTCCCTCCCCCAGCCCCCACAATCCTCAGCTCCATTGCAATAGTGATCCCGGCCAGTCTCAGTGCCCCAGCTGTCAAGACTATTCATTCCTTCTTGAAGCATTTTCTCAATAATCCTACAAAATAGTCAGCTCTCCCTGGTATATTTCCCTAGACTATCTAGCTAACGCCATACTTCACTTTTTGCCAATGTTAACTGGACAAGGGTCACTATCACTTAAGTTTTATCCACACTGCTTTCCTCTACCAGATTGCCAATCCCCACTGACCAACCCTAAAATCCCAGAAACTATCACCAACCGACTTCTAGGTCCTGAAAAGAGTTATCTTTGTCTTTACCATACACCTACTCCAGAGATTTCCAATTCCAATCCAAAATGAGAAGTCCCACTCCTCAACCCAATATCAACATACCTTTTGGCGGGTTCTAAGCATTCTACAATACCTACCTTTTCGGATCCTTCCCCCTCCCAAGCCTGAGTCTGGTCTCCCTGGCTACGAGTCTGCCAAGTCCTGACAGCTCTATGCTAGACAGCCCGCCGACCTCCACCCCATCAGATCTCCGGGGTCGCCCTTCCCGCCGTCCTCCAGCCTTCTTTCCGCTCGGACACTCTTCCACTGTCCGGGGAGCCTCGGCCTCTCCTAGTCCCTCTCCCCGACCCAGGTGTCCCCTTCCGGATCTCGCCGACCCTTCTCCAGGTTAAGCGGAGCCCCTCGCCTTTCAGGCCCCATCTGTGGTCCTGGCTCCTCGTACTTGCCAGCAGTGTTCCCAGGCTGCAAAAACGCAAGCGGCTCCTCTTCCCGAGGGCCACCACCTTCCTCAGGCCCCTTCCCTCAGCACCAAGTCCACCGCGCTTCCCCGGGGAATCCCAACTCACCCCCGCCTCCGCCATCTTCTGGGACCGGCCCCCACGCCCCTCCGCCGCTTCCTCCTCCCCTCCCACAACTCCGCCCGAGCTCCACTGCGCCTGTGCGGCCGACGCGGATACGCTCGGACGATCGGGGCAGAAGAACTTCCGGTTCCTACCGGCGCCAAGTAGTGGGCCCGTGAGCCGGGGCAAAAGGACTTCCGGTCTCCGCGAGGGTAGCGGCCGGCTGTAGGCGTGGACTGTCGAGTGGTGAAAGGCTGGTAGATCCCCTGTTGTTTGCTGACCGGGCAGTCGTCGTTTTTACTGGTACATTTATTAATGAAAATTGAAGGAGAAATTAAATTTGCAACAAAATGCATCTAAGCAAGTATTTGTATGGCCTTTCTTGTTTTCTCTAATGTTTCCTAAAGGTCTTAAATTTGTCTCCTGTAGATTTTTCACACTACCAGTAAAAAAAGGGATGTGGGTGGATTATACTGAATGGAGGAGGAATTTTAAAAAGAAAGGAGAAGAGCACCCAGAAAAGAACCCAGAAAAGAGACAATAACTTCAAAATGTCCTGACATCATTGCTTTCTTTAAAGCAACATGAGTCCTGTTCATCCAGGTCTTGCCTCCTCTAACCCAGCTTTTTCAAACACTTCAAAATTGCCTTCAATGAAATCCTTATGGAAGATTTTAGCCTGCAGAGACCTTTGTTTTAGTTTAAGTATTTACTGATTGCAAGGAGGGACAAGAACTAAAAAGCAAGAACTGTGTGGCCCCCAGTTCCTAAGGTTCTTCCATCCAACACAGTCATTCCTACTTCAGTATGAGGCAGAATACAAAGTCCTCAGGAGAAATACAGAAAGCCACCGTCTTCTGATTAGGTTTGGGAACAGTTTTCATGCATGATAAGGAGGCAGATTTGATGAAGCTGTGCATTCTCTGGGAGCTCAGAGATGGAAAAACATGAAATAGATGGTGGAGCCTGGAGTGTAGACAGATGTATTGAGACATGAGATCTGAATGTCACACTCATGAATTTGGACTAGATATTTGTTATTATCATGGAAACATGAAAATCACAAATTACTTGATGCCAGAGTATAAATTGATGAAGAACGCTGAGAAATCAGAATAACTTTGGGTTACTTTGAAGCTGGTGTAATATGGCTGAGAGAACACTGGTGAAGGATTGAAACCTGGCGCTGTGACAGCAAGTGCATAATCATGTCCAATAAATTGATTTCTCTAGGCTTTTTTGTTCCCATTTGTAAAATGAAAGATTGGTCTAGATTATTTCTAAGGTCCTCTTCATAGGCAAAAGTATCAATGATTTGCTAATTCTGTGACTTCAGAAAAGTTTTTTCCATTAACCTTACATGTTGTTTGGTTTCCCAACTGAGTGGGACAAAAGGTAAACTAGAAAACAAAAACCTTTTTACTTAGCTAACACAAACACCCACAAAAGTTTATTTGCCTTGTTGAAGTGAGATATTGTTAGACTAACATTAATGATTGCCCAAGGGTTGATGACTAAGCCTCTAAGAACCTTGGACTTGGAAGCCTTTCCCAAATTAAAAGCATCTGCAGTTTTCCTAGTCAGTACCTAGAACCCAAAACACTAGAGACTCTAGTACTAGTTTTGGTGGTGTTTTGATGTAGGAATACATATAGTTGTCGGACACAAAACACTAGAGACTCTAGTACTAGTTTTGGTGGTGTTTTGATGTAGGAATACATATAGTTGTGGGACACAAAAAGTCAAGGATTTTTGCCTTTTTGAGATTACAGGATGGATCATTTGTTAATCCATTCATCCCTCAACAGCTATCACCTGAACGTCATGCACATCCCAGGCACTTGGCACTGGACCTCAGGAGGAAAAAGCCTTTTCTGCCTTGTGAAGTTTGCAGTACAGTTGGGGAAACACACAGTAAATAGTTAAATTAGTGTATAATTTCAAATTGAGACAAGTGCTACAAAGATGATGAACATCTCCATACTGTGAAAGGGGACTGGGTATGACTTCACGTGTGACTTGAAGATAGAGATCTTCTAAGAGCAGGGTGAACAGCAAGTGTGAAAGCACTAGAGCTGCAAAATCTTGGTACATTCCAGGAAGTGAAAGGAAGGCAAAGCAGCTAGTGGGTAGCCATTGAGAAGAAGGTGACATATTGAGGTTGTGTGTTAATGTCATGACTTACTATGTGCCAGGCACTATGCTAAATTCCATTTCATTTCACATACTCAAAACCCCTTCAAAACAGTTACTAGATAGTAGATGAGAATTTAAGGCTAAGAGCAGCGATTCTCACCCTGGCTGCATATTAAGATCACCTGTGGATCTATTACAATCTCTAGTGCCTGAGCATCACCCTCCATATATTCTGATTTGATTGGACTGAAGAGGGGGCCTGGGCCCTTTCAATAAATCCCTTGTGTAATCCTAATATGAAGCCAGAGTTGAGAATCACTGTCTTAAAGTTAATTTGCCCAGGGTCACTTGGCAACTAAGTGGCAGAGGAGAGAAATTAAACCTAAATCTGTCTGATTCTACAAGCTGTGCTTTTAGCCACTCACTAGTGCCCTGTCAACATTCAATGACATGTAGCACCAGTTGCATGCTAAAAACTTTGTAAAACACTGAGAAATAAAAATGAACAAGACAGAGCCCTTGCCTTCATTGAATTCACAGCCTTTTAAGGCAGAGGTCTCAGTAAATGAAGCTAGGCCAGCTCATGTAGGCAGAAGCAAGTCAACTGAGGACTGTCATTGAAATCAGATATGTTCTTCCTATTTTAAGCTAGATTGGCACTGAAGGTAACTGGTGCATCAGGGGATCTACGTAGGCAGCTATTGCAATCATCATCTGAGAGATGGTACAAGCCTGAACTAAGGCAATGGTGAGGGTTCAAAGAGAATTGGCAGGACTTGCTGACCACTGACATGAGGGTGGGGAAAAGAAAGAAGTGGAAGATGACTTGAGAGTTTTGAGTTTGATGGACAGAGTGAAAGTGAACACCACTGATCTAGAACAAGAACACAGGAATTGAATCTGGGGTTGAATGAGTTTGAAATACTTCTTGAACATTTAGGTAAAAATGTCGAATAGAGTACTGGAAATGTGCATCTGGAATTCAAGTGAGCAAACGGATAGAAATAGAGATTGGAATCCTTGACCTCCAGGTGGTAGTTGAAGGCATGCCTTGCATAGTGCGTATGCTGTGTATGGAATTTTTTTTTAAAGACAATAGAGATCAAGAGGAAAAAAATCCACAAAACCTGACATTGCTGTATTTGAATAGTTCAATAAAGCTATTTTTATCTGCAGTGATATTAAACACAGTCAACTCTTGATTATCTATGATGAGATTTTAATACTTTCCAGACCTTCCCTGGGCACACAGCAAATTTAACAGATGATGCATAACCATGGAATGCAAACCAATTTTAAATATTGGCTAAATATTTAAGAATGCTATATGATGCATTCAGAACTGTAACAGAAATATCCTACAACAGTGTTTTCACACATACATAATTTGTATGTAACCCTAGTTTTGACTTCAATCATTTTGATAATATTACTTAAACCTACAAAAATTATAATGTTCTAAACATAAAACTAGGTAGAAAATCCTTAGGCTTAACTCCTACTTCTATAAACCAAGACATTTGCAAAATAAATATGAACAAAAGCATAAAATAAGTAAGCTTCAAATTATAGTAACGTGAAAGGTGTTTTTTGAAACAGAAGCATTTCAGTAAAGACTGAAATAGTTGCTACAGAATGATTTTGAGATAAAACATCTGCTCTTATTACTGTTTATCACGTGATGGCCCAATTCTTTCACTACTTCTCTTTATTAAACCTTTATTTGTACAGTTAACCCTACCATTATTTGGCCTTCATTTAGAACAAATGATAATTTAAATCCATCTCTGTTGTTTTTTAATCAATGTAAGACAGAATCCAATCTTAAGAGAAATCATGTAGCAATGCTCTGCTAGAACGTGTTTATCAACATGATTCACAACATGCTTGTATTAATATTTGGAGGTTATCATGTAATTAAAATCACATCATTTAAAAATTCTCCAGTAAATTTATGGACCACTGAGAATGTACTCATGTCCTCTAAAGATCTGTAAATGATACTTTGAAAAAAGCTATCATAGGTTATCCAGAGTTTTTGCTTATTTATGCCTTGTAAAGTTCCTTAGCATAAATCTCCAATTCCCAAAATGTATTCCGTAGAATTAATATTAACAGGAATTTGTGGAGAAAAATAGGATTCTGTGCTCATATTTGGTAAGCATTGGATTAGAAAAAATTAAACAGATATTGTTAATATGGGAATTTTGAGACCCTGTAATATTCCAGGACACAATTTGTTCCAAGAAAGATTTGTTTTTTCCCCCCTTTGGAGCATGTGGTTGGCTATGTTTACATACTGTCAAACATCCCTCTCTAATATGTTTAGGGAAAGTTGAAGTAATGAAGTTGCATTTTACAGTGAAAGCTGTTTATAAAATCCTCTGTCATCAATCAATCCATAATCATCTACATAGAAAGCAGGCTCTGAGGGCATATGGCACACTTTTCAGTGCCTAAGGTGGTGCCTGGTTTGTATTGTAATACGAGTTCAATAAATACTTGTTGGGTTAATTAAAATTTTGTTGTGTTTGTTATTTGTTTTATGTCAATAGTGGTTGCTACTATTTTGGTTTCATGAACTACGTAGCATCTGGAGAGAAGACTGTGATCAGAAAACTTTTTATATAGCCTTCTTATATAACAAGTGTTTATCCTGAAGGAGCAGAAAGAAATTTGTCTTAGAATCTGTACTGTCTAATACAGCAGGCACTAGACACATGCATCTATTTAAATTAATCAAAATAAAATAAAAATTCAGGTCCTCAGTTACACTAGCCACATCTCAAGAGTGCAATAACCCACGTGATGGACAGAGCAGATTATAGGACACTTCTATCATCACATGAAGTTTTACTGGGAAGCACTGATTAGATGATTTATGTAAATTTAAGTGCCTCAAAATTACTGACAAGGTAAGAAAAAGAATCAAGAAATAGA